AGGATTGCATATTCAGTAGACAGCAGACAGCCTGCTATTGGCTATGGACTCTACCCACTGCCTGCTGTCCGTCAGTAGCAGAGTGGACCTAATGGGGAACTAGTTCCTCGGCATCCCCCATCAGGCTCTGCCCACTGTCAGCATCACTGGTTGTTAAGGACACTGCCGGCATCCGAGCAACTAATTACTCATCCCCCGGCTCCATTCAGCTGCCAATCGGGAGATTATTTGGCTGGCAGCTAAATACAAACATCATTACCTGTGGCCATATTTGAGTATTGATGTCATCCCTGGCTCCCTTTGTTTAAATTCAGCTGCCTGCTGGGGAATCTCCCAACCGGCAGCTGAATGGAACCGGGGATGTGTAGTTGGTTGCTAGGATGCTGGCGGCCCAGTGTCCTAGCAACCGATAAACCACATGTGGGAAGCTGTCACATTGCACACATTGCACGATACCACATACAGTACTAGTGGCACTGGTTCAATACATTGCCATTCTCAATGGCACCCGAGTGAGCCTCTGCAGTGCTGCACAACGTGTGGTAGCAAAACAACGTGTGTTGGTGCATGCATGCCCTGCTTTGTTTCACCACGCAGCAATGCAATGCACCTTATTACAGTGCTGCAAGGCACGCCTGCTTTGTGGTGCATTGGGGTGCCATTGACAATCGATAGCAATGAGTATACCTAGTGTGTGGTTGTGTGCACTAGTACAGATCTCGTGCATTTAGCGTGACACCTGGGTTGCCACCCATCCGCGATTCACCCGGACAGTCCGGGTGAATCAGGCCAGCTTACACCCGGACACAAGACACTAAGTGCCAATACCGGCACTTAAAATTTTTTGACAGATGCTGCATCTGCCTGAAGCCCGCACAGCCCACGTTGCGAGGCCACGGTGTCCACATGAGAGCCCGCACAGCCCTAGTGAGAGCCCGCACAAGCCACCTGAGACCCTGGAGACATCAGGGCGCCACCCCAGAACAACACATAGTATGTAGCTTCATATAATTTTGTACTGCTGTATAATGTATTGCTGGGATTTGTAGTCCTCTATAGCCTCCTGAAGCAACCCAAGTGACACCATAGTGGGAATATATCACGGATTATAGAATGCTGTGAAACTCTGGCTTAGAATACAACACATGCAGCTACTTTCCATTACTGACCACCATAAAGTCTTTGGAATTGCAAAAAAATATATAAGTTATATTATAATATAGTCATTTGCTACCATTATATGTTCCACAGGACGGCAGCTTGAATGTTAGATGGTAACAGACAATTGTGGACATTGCAACTACATGGTGATGTTACTTCTTATATGACAGGTTCTCTTTATTAGGCCAGTATGCATCCTGGAGGCCTAACATTGCACCATAATAACCCAAAACTTCAACCTCCTGCTCCCAGTCCCTCTGTGAAGTCAAGTCAGAGGATTGAATGGCAGTGCGGAGGCTCTTCCAGGAGGCTCTGGGCTCCGGTCCATCTGCGATTAGCATTGTTGGCAAGACAAGAAGCGAACCTATGAAAGGCAGAGTGTTCCAGGTAGATTGTCCAGGAGGGAGAGAGGAAGGAGAGGCCAAACAATGCAAAGGAGTCTGGGACCGCGGGGGAATGAGCTGGGGGGGGGGGGCTAATAGTGGAGGAGAGGAAGTGTCAGATGAAGGGGGGGGACCCAGATAACAATCCCGGAGAAAGTCAAACAGTCAGCTGGATGTTTAAATGTAACGTATACATCAATTATACTGAAATCACACTTCCTACATCCAGATAACCGCTTGCCGCACTTCCACCCGGGTTATCATTGGCAGCTGGAGTTCAAGCAACCAAATAGCACTGTTGTGTCTTCAGGACATTATTGTAACAACTAATGGATATATTAAAAAAAACTCTACCAATCCGAGATACATATAAAAAACACCACTACACAAAAGCACAACGGAAAACTGTATCAAATAGTCAAATGCTGGGTTTTAGGGCTGCAACAACGAATCGATTAAATCGATGATAATACATTATGAGAATAGTTGGCAACTATTCTCATTATCGATTAGTTGGTTTGGGAGAGAGAATTTATACTGTTTTATGTATACAGTATGTAAAATACCTTTTATTTATTTAGGAGATATAAACTATTTGCCAAATGATTTGAAATGTGAATTGCCATGAACATTCATTCTGTGCGGATAAAGGCAACAACGGATGTTCTTAGTTTATTTTCTTTTCAGGTGAAAGGAAACATACTGCATTATGGAAACTAGATGGAGCTGTGGAGCATAGGAAATAATTACTTCCATCCTCTGCTCCTCCATCTGGTGGCCATAATATAGTCATTTCCAAATGCTACTATATTTACTGCAAGTTAGGAGGAAAGAAAGACAGAGGAAGAGAAAGAATAGATAGAAATTGATGTAAATTTGGGGAAGAACAATAGAAAGAGGAAGAGAAAGATTAGATGAAGTCTGAATAAGACTGTAAAAAGATGTATTGGTTGAAGTTTCCTCCGCTGCTGGGCACGGGTCTGCTTCTGGATTGAACGATGGCCAACGTCATCCAACTCACTTCCTGTGAGCCCAGGTTTGTCATGGACCCGCCCCTTGGGGGTGCTTCACCACTTCAGCTGGGGTCACAGTACAGTACTGCCGGAGAGAGCCATGCTGACACCATCCAGCGCTGGTCATGATGTCACCGCCCCAAGTCCAATCACAGAACGCCTTAGTACAAATATGGCTGCTGTGCTTTACAAGATGACCCACGTGTGACGCAGAAGAGCTGAATCAGTGTGCAAGCCCACTCCCGGGATGGACTACAATCTCAATACAAATTTGTAAACTAAACATGAGATTGTAGTCAAATTGTAACCAAATTGCTTGCTCCCTTATTTGGAGATTTAAAAATGTAACCTGAATACATACATACATACAATTGTTGTTGTAATAAATAGTCCCAAAACTATTGCCTTATGTATCACATCCAACCTGAACTCCCCGCCCCCCCCATCCCCCCTGCCCAACCTCCAGAGACATTCACTGCAAGAAAGTTATACAGAATATTTACTAAATACTTGCTAAGTAGTATAGTTGGACAACAGCGCCACCTGCTGTTCATGGTTGATGCTGTACTCCGCTTGTCTTTCTTTATTTTTTGCTTTAATGTATTTTTGTTAGTAATAGTAGTAGTAGTTGTAGTGGTAGTAGTAGTATTAGTAATAGTGGTGGTAGTAGTAGCAATAGATGTAGTACTAGTTGTAGTGGTAGTAGCAGTAGTGGTGGTAGTAGTAGCAGTAGTGGTGGTGATAACAGTAGTGGTAGCAGTAGTAGTAGTGGTGGTTGTAGTGGTAGTAGTACTATTGATGGTGGTGGTGGTAGTAGTAGTAGCAGTAGTGGTGGTAGTAGTAGCAGTAGTGGTGGTAGTAGTACCAGTGGTGGTGGTAGTAGTAGTGGTGGTGGTAGTAGTAGTGGTGGTGATAGTAGTAGTGGTAGCAGTAGTAGTAGTGGTGGTAGTAGTGGTAGTAGTAGCAGTAGTGGTGGTGATAGTAGTAGTGGTAGTAGTAGTGGTGTTGGTGGTAGTAGTACTAGTGGTGGTGGTAGTAGTAGTGGTGGTGATAGTAGTAGTGGTAGTAGTAGTGGTGGTGGTGATAGTAGTAGTGGTAGCAGTACTAGTGGTGGTGGTAGTAGTCGCAGTAGTAGTAGTGGTGATAGTAGTAGTGGTGGTGGTGATAGTAGTAGTACTAGTGGTGGTGGTAGTAGTAGTACTAGTGGTGGTGGTAGTAGTTGCAGTAGTAGTGGTGGTAGTAGTAGTAGTTGTGGTATTCAGGACTTTTATAGATTACAATCTAAAAGAACTTGCCTTGAATTCTTTACAAACCAGTAATAATATTGTATACAAGGCTTCAGCATTTTTCATTTTGTTGTAACTTTTCATGTCAGTGTTGGTTGAATTTGCAGACATTTATAGATGTAATAAATTCATATCATATATATTTATATTAGGAAAACACCAATATCGATACTAGTATCGGTATTGGTGCCGATACCAAGTATTTGGACGAGTACTTGTACTCACCCAAATGCTCTGATACCTTCCCTGATACCGGAACTTCCGGTCAGAGGGAGATTACCTCTGACCGGCAGTGCATCGAGGGAACATGGAGCCGGGTAATGACCTGCCTCCTGGCTTCCTGATTGTCCGGGATTCCGGCTCCATGCTGATTGGCTGGAAAGCCGGCTTCCCAGCCAATCAGCTTTGAGCCAGCCAAACAGCATGGAGCTAGCTTACCGGAAAATCAGAAAGTCAGGTGGTGGGTAATGATCCACCTCCCGGCTTCCTGATTGGGCAGGAAGCCGCTTCCGAACAATAAAGTGCCGTGGTCATTTCCACCCAAACAGCTGCAGTCCGGGCATCCCCTGCAGCTGCATGTGAACAAGGGGGCGGGATGCTTGTGCTGACATAATTAACCAAATATTGCCATGTGACCATATAAAGTCAATGATGTCACTGCAATCCACCCCTTTGCTAATGTGCATCTGCAGGTGGGACATTTCCTGACCGCAGTTGATTGGGTGGTAGTGAAAGGATCTTCCTCTGTTCACCATATTCGGTCAATGACATCACTGCTTCCCGCCCTTAGGTATTTCCCTCCCGCAGCTGATTGGGCGGCATGGATAAAGCTTCCTTTCGTGTCCAGGAGGAGCTCCATCCAGGATCGATCAGAACCTGAGCTCACTTCCCCAATTGTTAAAGTTTACATTCAGTCTAAATAAAACAAAAGGAGACATTGTGAAAGATTTTTTTAAACTTTTTATTTGCAAGTTACTGGAATTTGCGCCAATCTGAAACTGTGAATGGGAATGATTTCTGTATAAAAAAAAGTAAAGGGTCTGCACCGCTTGTGGCAGCAGCTCTCCGGGGAGGATAGATGAGAAGAGCCCCCAGTTGATCGGTATGGCAGACGGCAGCGTTGTCAGAACAAACATTTTACCCCCCTGAACACTCTGGTCTGGCTCACTCCTCCGAATAGTGACTTGCTTCAGACACTTTCTTGCCATCGGTGGTCTCGATGGTCTTAACAAGGACAATTTTCTTTGGGTTGGTTGGTTTGCGGGCCGGAGGAGCGGATTTCATGTCAAAGTTCAGGAGATTGGCTGCAGACACAAGTTTGGGCAATGCTCGGTAAGACACGTCGAGAAAGATAAATCAAATATATGAATAGATCAAAAATAATTAGGGATGCACCAATATCAATACTAGTATCGGTATTGGTGTCGATGCCGGGTATTTGGGCGAGTACTCGTAGTTGCCCAAATGCTGAGATGCCTAGCCCGATACTTCCTGATTGGCCGGGAAGCCAGCTCTATGCTCCCTCGTCACTTGTGACGAGAGAGCATGGAGCCGGCTTCCCGGCCAATCAGGAAGCCGGGCAGCGTGTAATGACGCGGCGCCCGGCTTCCTGATTGGACGGGAAGCCGGCTTCATGCTCGCTCGTCACCTCATGAGCTCCCTCGTCACGAGTCATTACACGGCGCCCGGCTTCCTGATTGGCCAGAAAGCTGGATCCATGCTTTCTCGTCACATAGTGAGGAGAAGCATGGGGGCGGCTTCCCTGCTAATCGGAAAGCCGGGTGGCGAGTCATTACACGCCGCCTGGCTTCCTGAATGGGGCTTCTGGTACTCTGTATTCGGTATCGGCGAGTACCGAAAAAATAATATTGGTACTTGTACACAATACAGAAATACTGGTATCTGTGCATCCCTATATCAAACATCCATCATACAATCACGTCATTGATACAGAGCCGCGGCGCCAAGGCCAAGGTGATTTATTCACAGCTCAGGTCCAACTTTCAGAACGTTTTCACAAATATAAGAAAGTATCATAATAATAACCAACAATATAACACTATACACAATTATAACAATGTATCCGTTCACATGTCCAGGACTTTTCCTGCTATCGGTGCTCTTGGCCCTTTGGCTTCTTCCATCTGCCAAAAAAACACATTGGGCCCGACAAACTATCAGTGGTGCGAGATTAAAATAGCGCAGGTTGTGACATTATTACTAAATATTCAAGAATTCGCAATGCATGTTCCTGTGGAATGTGACATTTGTGTCAGTGATAGGGAAATCCCTTTTTTGTAATGAATGTCACAATATTGAAAAGATGACATATGTCTTATGTGCACATAGCGGTAGGTGGTGCGGGGCTGTTTATAAACTATGGTCACCACGACGTCTTAGATCGTTTGTCAGAATTTGTCCATTTTTTTGCAACAGTTTTGCACATAAATTTCTGCACCACCGATAGTTTTTCAGGCCTATTGTATTCTGGTATTCTGACATTCTGACACTAGCAAGCAGTAGATATATGCAAAAAGTGTAAAAACAAAAACAAAACAAAAACGTTTTTACCTGCGTCTTCCCCGCGCGCTCCTATCCGAAAATTTGAAAATTCTCAGGTGGGCCGTAAAGCATCTTGGTGCAGGCGCATGCGCAGTTCACATTTTCGGCCAGGACGCGAGGAGAGACACAAGGTAAGTCTATGGACGCGTGCACCCACATGCAGACACCGTGGGACAGGAAGTGCCAGCAATGACAGAGGAGTCAGCGCTAGAGGGACAGATGAAAAGGACAGGAAAGAAGAAGAAGATCGATTTAAGAGACATAATTTAAAGGAGAACTATGGGATTAAGTCTTTTCCCCATAGTTCTCCTTAGGGTAACGGGAGGACACAAGCTAGCGTCCTCCCGTCACCCTACGCTCAGTATACCGCGAGCTGTAGCTTGCGGTATACTGAGACGCCGCAGCTGAAGCGGATCCCGACAATCGTGCCGGGATCTGCCCAGCTGCGTGAGTGACAGCTGGCTCTGCCTATCCAGAGGCAGAGCCAGCTGTACCCGCCCCCGTCCGTTCCGCCAGTCAGCGCTGGCGGATCGGAGCGGGGAGGGGGGAATACAGCCCCTCCCCTGTCACAGCCGAGAGCTGGGACAGGATAGAGAGGTGAGCGAACGCCGGTATGTGTTCGCTCACCTCCCGATCTTCTGAGCCGACCTGTGACAGTCTCATTGTCACAGGTCGGCCAGAACTATGAGGTGAGTGAAAAGCACTCACCTCATAGTTCTCCTTTAAGGTAAGTGCTTTCATTAACATTGGGGGGAGGGAAAAAGCTTTTTGACTTTAATGTCACTTTAAATCCTAAAAAATACATTCAAGTACCTGATCTATGTAACAACAATGTATCTTATTTGTGTATCACTCGGCTGTAGATCCTCCAATCATCTCTGAATTGGTGCTGACCCTGTCCTTCCCTCTGGAGGGGGGCTATTTTTGTTCCCAATGGTCCCTGTGTGTGTTGTAAAGTAGTCACCGCTCCAAGCTCGCTCCCGGGATGGACTACAATCTCAGTACAAAATAGTAAACTAAACATGAGATTGTAATCTCAGTTAGTGTGGAAGTGCTCTTTTACATTGATGCTCACACTGGCTCACCTTTGATTGATGGTCATTGGGAGAAGGACCCCATTACATTGGTGGTCAAGGGGAAAAAAATGTTCCGTACATTGGTGGCCAGTGGGAATAATGCAGTTTATATCAATGTCCCTTACATTGATGCTCACTGGGATGAATGCCGCCCATACAGATAGCTAAAAAGACCACTGGTGTCAGAGGCAGAGATCATTGATAGCTCAAGGAACCCTCAGCTACCTCTGAAGGATCTCTAGGGTCCCATGGAACCCTGGCTGAAAAAGGGTGCTCCCACTCAATATTAATTTCAGCTTTTGTTAGAAGTAGAAGACTTAAAAGAGAACTATGAGGTAAGTGTTTTTCCCCATAGTTCTCTTAGGGGTGACTGACGGGAGGACATATACTAACCACCTCCCGAGACCTCCGCAGCCGGGACGGATACCGACATTACAGTCGAGATCCACCCAGCTGCGTGAGTGACAGCTGGCTCTGCCTATCTAGAAGCAGAGCCAGCTGTACCCGCCCCCTCCCCCGTCCGTTTCTCCACTCAGCGCTGGAGGATCGGACAGGGGAGCGGGGTAATCCCTGTAGGGAGCCGTGAGTGACAGTCACTGCTCTCTGCAGGGAGATGATCGAGAAGTGAGTGAGCGACGGTATGTGTTCTCTCACTTCCCCATCTATTGAGCCGACCTGTGACAGTTTAATTGTCACACGTTGGCTCGACCTATGAGGCTGAGTGATTTTCATAGTTCTCCTTTAAACCCCCTTAACAATTTCATATATCTGTTAGTTGTAAGATCTCTGAGCTCCAACTCCAGACAAAACTGATTTAGTTTGGGAAAAGCATTTAAACCACTATCATATTTATTATTATTATTATTATATGTATAACTGATACAAAGTGTTTTATCAATATTCTGGGATATTAAACGATCATTTGAGATATACATAACTTATTATTGTCTAGCTTTTGGGACATTTCATTGCGCATTAGGATTGTTATATAAAGTAAGAGCGCTACGTATTTATTATTATAACTGAAATATAACTTTTGGGTGGACCGGCCTAAGAATACAGATACAAATAGATAATGCACATGACTAACATTTTTATATTCTTTGTTTGGATTTTATGTGTCTCTCCCCTTTCTTTCTGTGTATTGGTTTTTAGTCGGCATGACCTCCTATAAATCTCTATTAAAAAACCTCACCCATGACATACACCGAAACACAAATACATCAGTTTACACCCAGAAATAAAAAGCCCTAATAAACTGAGCTTTGTGTGAACAGGACCTGGGAACCCGATTAGAGTAATGGATACTGACACTTTTGGCATCACTTCGGGATCACAAGTTAAAAAAATAATTGTCTCCAGAACTGTGTGTGTTCCATCGTGAGTACGGATTTTGGATTAGATCCAGATCTAGTAGCTACATGGCAGGGAGAAACCGGTCTCTTGTTTGTACTGGGGAAAGGTAAAATCTATCAGGGGGCAGAGTTCTGACCCACCAAGCGCTAAAAGGTCAGACTCAAAAAAGGGAGGTCATGTGTACATCTCTCCCATGGCACTGCTTACTGTCCCATGCCTTTCGTCTGGTAACAGCTTTGCTCTTTAGCCAGGGCTATCCCTATAATGAGGCAGCCTGATGCTGTTGCCTCAGGTGGCATTTCTTTGGGTTATATAGGGGGCATAGGCGTGCACACAGGGTGTGCCGGGTGTGCCTGGGTACACCCTAATCGCTCCAAGCACAACAGAGGGCACCAGCAGTAGATTGGGTGCCTTGGCATGTATGTACTATATATATACTGAGTGGCCAGATTATTATGACCACCCCATCAGTACTTCGTTGGGCTGCCTTGTGACTCCACGAAATGATGAAAGGGGTTGCGAGGAATCTGACACGGCACTGTTGTCCTTCTTTTGTCTTGTACCAGTCTTGTTACTCTCCGTTCTGCCCTAACATTGACTAGTCTCTGACGGCCACAATTCGCACGTTCAGACCCAGATTTTCGGCTGACAGTCCGGTCTTTAATCACTTTAACAACAGCTGCTCTTGAACATTTAACGAATTCCTCTGTTTTGCTGATACTCGCTCCATGGCTCCGAGCGCCAACAATCATCCCACGTTCAAAGGCTGATAAATCGCGTTGTTTCCCCGAATCTTCAGAAATCACTTCTACTGTCGTGGTAACCAACCTGCTTCCCTATTTATAATTGTCTGGCCCTCTAGCAACTTCAGCGCATAATTATAGCTAATTTGCCTACAAAGGTCAGGTGGTCATAATAATCTGGTCGCTCAGTGTATATATAGAGAGAGAGAGATATATATGTGTGTGTTTGTAGTTTTGTGTGCACACCCTAATGCAATAGGTTGTGTATGCCTATGGTGGGGGGCTGCAGGCAGAGTGGCACAGCCGCTCTGCCGCACAATGTTTGCAGTGTGCCTGTCGCCCCCCCCTCCAGGCAGAGCATCCCAAATTGCTAAGAGCTGGACGGGTACAAGATAAACATCTCGCAGCCCAACTCTTAGCAATCTGGGATGCTCTGGCCGGCTTCCGGCTTAGCTACCAGCAACCAGTGACGTCAGTAAACTGGGTGGGATGCTGGTGAGATGATCCATCCCCCAAGCATGCAATACAAGCACCCTATCCACCAATGCTCCACAATCCACCCTTCCCTACAATGTGAACCACCAGCACCCCTTCCCCTGCCTCAGATGGTGAATATGCTGGGGGACACCTCTGTCTTTAGCCCTACAAATAACCATAATTGAATAATACGATTCCCCCCCCCTCTTCCCCCCACTAGACTTCAACCGGGTTTGATGCAAAATTGTTCAAAAATTGAACCCAGGAAGACCCACTCATCTCTAATCGCCGGCTCTGTGCTACAGTCAGAAGGTTCACCCAGTTTACATTCATTTGATTTTCAGGGGTGGAACTACAAATGGGGTATTTGCACTGGGGGCTCTGTACTAAGGGGGCTGCTAATTGTAAGACCTGCTTTTTACCACCACTCCCTCCCCCCCTTCTCCATTCTACCTAATGTCCCCCAGCACTTGCCCCGCCCTTGGTGCTCCTGCAGTCTATAGATCTGGATGACACCAACCCTAATAATAAAGGAAGTGGGACAAGTTCCTCCTTTTATTTGTGCCATTGAGATCCTACAATTCCAGTGTGTTCAGCACAGCAGTAGAACAGCTATCTGAAACCCTGGAGTACCACCCTGCACTCTTGATCTCTGGGTTGCAAAAGGATGAACATTAATATACAAAATATATGCAAAAATGTTATATTCTCTTTATTCGGAGATTCTCTACTCACCCAGCTTGTCTACAGCGCTGTTCTGGCCACTTGAAGGATGGTTGCTCAGTCTGCAGGGAAGAAGTGCATGTTGGTTAAACAAAAAGACATGTATGCTCGGCCTTCCACCTGTACACGGTGGAAGACGCCATCTTTAAAATATAGTCCATTTATATTCATTAATTTTTGATGGAGCTAAACAGATGCAAATATGCATTCAAAATGCACAGTTAAGTCTCGGCTGTGACAGTCAGGGCCGGATTTACTCTCTCTGCTGCCCCAAGGCCAATGCGCCCCCCTACCCGCCAACCCCCCCATGGAGAAACCCCCCCCAATGGAGAATGGCAACCATATGGCAGGGACGGGTTGGTTTACATTTTGTAAAAAAAATGTTGTACTTTTTTTATCACTTTTTAATTTTTTTTAATTTTATTTCATTTTTTACTTTTTCACATTTTTATTTCATTTTTTTTAATTTTTATTTTATTATCTTTCACTTTTTAATTTTTTATATTTTATTATGTTACTATTTTCTTTTGCTTTTCTAAAAATGTTTTATAATTTTTTACTTTTTTTTTTAATTATTTTTATTTTCATTACATTTCAGCTTTAAACCTCTTTAGCCTATAATTGGATCTAATAAAGAGCAATACACCCCCGGTTCTATTTCTAAATAATTTGCAGAGCCATTGGCCCTGAGAATCTCTGTGAACGCGCATTCTGGGTGAATGGATGCACAAAGACTCCTCATCTCCATCTAGTGGCCATAATGTGGTATTACAAGATGAGATTCGAAAATACATTTGACTTGAATGTATATAACAAGACCGTTAGCTTTGTGCATCCATTCACACAGAGAGAACATTCACCGAGATTCATAGGGCCAGTGGCTCTGTGAATTGTTTATAAATAGACCCTGAAGTGTGACATTTTACTGCTCCTCAATTCTCAGACTTCGGCTCACCTGGTCTCCTCTCCCTCCAGCAATTTGCGGTAGGTGGCGATTTCGATGTCCAGAGCCAGTTTGGTGTTCATCAGGTCCTGGTACTCTCGCACCTTGCCTGCCATGTCCTGCTTCGCTCTTCTTAGGGCCTCTTCCAGGTCCTGAGAGTGGGACTTGGCGTTCTGCACAGCCTGCTCGCCGCTGTCCTCTGCATGGGCGATGGCATTCTCTAGATTTGCACGCTGGAATTAGAATATTGGGTTGTATTAAGGTCCCTTAGTGTGGGTCACAGTTAGACTTGTGTTGAAGGTACAGTTAGAGCTAGGGTTAGCCTTAGCACTGGAGTTAGTGCTAGAGTCAGGGTTGGTGCTAGAGCTAGCGTTAGGTTTAGTGTTAGAATGAGGGTTAATGCTGGAATAAGGGTTAGCATCATGGTAAGTGCTAGGGTTAGGATTACTGCTAAAGTTTCAGTTAGAGTTAGCACTAGTGTTAGGGTTAATGCTAGAGCTAGGGTTAGAGTTGGGGTTAGTGCCAGAATTAGGATTGCTGCTACAGTTAGGTTTAGTGTTAGAGTGAGGGTTAAAATTAGGGTTAGTGCTGAAGTTGCAGTTACAGCTAGGGCTAGAGTTAGGGTTGGTACTGTATTTAGGGTTGGTGCTATAGTTGAGGTTAGTGCTAAAGTTAGGGTCAAAGCTAGACTGATGTTACAGTTAGGGTTAGCTCTAAAGTTAGGGGTTAGTGTTAAAGTCAGGGTTAGAGCTAAGGTTAGTACTACAGTCATGGATAAAGTTCGGGTTAGTAGACATGTGCACCATCCAAAAATGTGTTTAGTTTCGTTCCGTTTTGATTCGGATTTTGCTTTATTTTGTTTTTCGGAATTCGGGTCCGAAAGTCAATCCGAAAGTCAATTGGAATTCGGATGAAATTCGTTAGCGGAAAGGGGAAATTTTTTTTTTTCTTGTTCTCAAATGTCACTTTGCTGCAACTAAATTTCATCCAAAAAACGAAAGTTCGTCCAAAAAAAAACTAATCGGAAATTCGGATTCATTTGCATTCGTTATACCTGTAATTCGGAATTCGCACATGTCTAAGGGTTAGCATTAGCACTAGAGTTAGGGTTGGTGCTAGCGTTAGGTTTAGTGTTAGAGTGAGTGTTAGTGCTGGAGTAAAGGTGCCCATACATCCCGCGATCGTACGAGAATCAAGCAGTGTGAACGAAGACGTGCGACCGATGATCGAGAGTACGATCTGCCTGTCCAAGATGGGCAGATCGTACGTTTTTTTAATTACTTTACAACCATCGCAAGACTAAGGTCTTGCGATGGTTGTAAAGTGTATGGCCACCTTAAGGCTTACATTACAGTAAGTGCTAGAGTTGGGGTTAGTGCTAAAGTTTCAGTTAGAACTAGGGTTAGGGTTAAAGGAGAACTATGAGGTGAGTGCTTTTCACTCACCTCATAGTTCTAGCCGACCTGTGACAATGAGACTGTCACAGGTCGGCTCAGTAGATCGGGAGGTGAGCGAACACATACCGGCGTTCGCTCACCTCTCGATCCTGTCACGGCTCTCTGCCGTGACAGGGGAGGGGCTGGATTCCCCCCACTAGATAGGCAGAGCCAGCTGTCACTCACGCAGCTGGGCGGATCTCGACATCGATGTCGGGATCCGCTCCGGCTGCGGCGTCTCAGTATACTGCGAGATGTAGCTTGCGGTATACTGAGCTTAGGGTGACGGGAGGACGCTAGTTTGTGTCCTCCCGTTACCCCAAGGAGAACTATGGGGAAAAACACTGACCCCATAGTTCTCCTTTAATGTTAGCGATAGAATAAGTGCCTATTCACACGTGGACTTAATGTGCTTTGCCAATGTACAGCAACTCGGGGAAAAGTGGATAGTTTTACAGCACAGTGTACCGTTAGGGTTAGTGTTAGGATTAGTGTAAGGATTAGTGTAAGGATTAGTGTAAGGATTAGGGTTAAAATTTCAGTGACGCAAAATCTCCCGATGTTTCTCATCCCGAATGTGAAATAAACGTTTTTAATGGCTAAACAGTTCTTCATTGCAACAAAATGACAATTCCATGCATGCCACATTCTTTATATGACTTGAATGCTTTGATGAGAACTTCGTTGTGAGGAAATAATGAATTCAGTTAGAATAAATCATACATCTCGGTGAATTGAGCGCCATGTCCTTTATTGTATCAGATATTTCTATTTAGAGCCCCCATAATTCCGCCATCTTTGGATATAAATACCGTCATGCAGCACTCCCTCCTCTGGTCATACCTGATTCTTCAGGGCCTCATTGTCACTGTTGGTGCGTTGTATCATACGGTGTAAATCCGCCAATTCATTCTTCAGCGCTCTCAGCTCGTCATTGGTGCGTTTAGACTGATTCATCATGTCGTCAATCTGCAAAACCCCAAAAAGAAATCAGTGTACAGTAAAGGAAGAATCCGGCCGCACTCTGTTCCTCGCTGATCAGTGTATTGATAGTTCATCAGTCCTCCTCCTCCTGTCACAGTGCTACTCGCTGTACATGTGGATTAATAGAAACTCTGTAAAGCCGATGTTCTGTCGAGAATGCCGACCCAGTCGATTTTGCCTACCTGACCATCTGCGCTTGCGCACACCCCGGGATGAACGAGCAAACAGCCATTTATTTACAAAGTATTTTTTTTTCTAATTGTTAATTGTGACCGTTCATAATATGCCGTCCATGGCTGTAAATGTATGCACATTCACAATTAATAGCGTAAGCAATTACATTATAATGTAATTGCTTACGATGTTATTTGTGGATGTGCATAAAATGCAATCCATCATTTACAGCCATGGACGGCATATTATGAACGGTCACAATTAACAATTAGAAAAAAAAATACTTTGTAAATAAATGGCTGTTTGCTCGTTCATCCCGGGGTGTGCGCAAGCGCAGATGGTCAGGTCGGCGAAATCGACTGGGTCGGCATTCTCGACAGAACACCAGCTTTACAGAGGTTCTATTAATCCACATGTACAGCGAGTGATACTGTGACAGGAGGAGGAGGACTGATGAACTATCAAAAAACTGATCAGCGAGGAACAGAGTGCGGCCGGATTCTTCCTTTACTGTACACAGCAAAATCGACTGGGTCAGCATTCTCGAGAGAATCAGAGAGAGTTGGCGCTGGTCATGGTACCTTGCTCCTGTACAAGTGTTCGGCTTCCTGGCGGCTCCTGTCTGCCATGGTCTGGTACTGGGCCCGGACTTCATCCATGATGTGCTTCATCTCCAGGTCTCGGTTGTTGTCCAGCTCCACCGTCACCTTGTCATTGTGTATTTGGGACTGGAGCTCATTGATTTCCTATAAAGATGACAAAGGTCAGGCTGATGGCATATATTCTCTTGTGTTGGAACTGGTTACTCTCAATTCCCTGCAGACTTCTCCACAATATAACCCTTCGAAGTCGCAGTAGTTATCCTGAGCTCACCTTCATTTCCTGTCTCAACAACTTCAATCATCATGAATACTCTTCCCACCTGACCCATCGAGTCATTGGTGGTTGATTTACTAACCTTATAAACACACCACGAACATTTATACACCTCTGTAGTGTACATTCACAGCTATGCTTTCTCTGCCATCAATTATTTTGCTCTTTGTCATGTGTGATCTTTATGACTGGCATCAGTCACTGTACTGTTCTTCCCGAACATTATATAAAAAACCTATCCCTGGCATCCCTTTAGACATGCATCCCCGCTGCACAATGGGTGCTGTAGACAGTAGCTGTGCACTCTGTTGATCAGTGACTTGATTACACTCTATTGACCACTTGCTGCCCGGAGCAATTTCTTACATTTGCACACACGATAAAATCAGAATTTTTGGCAAGAAAACAGCTTCAGACCCCCCAAACAATGATATATTTTCTGAAATCTCATATTGAGATTTTTGCCCGGACTTCATCTTTAGAAGTGAAGAAATGTAACTCGGAAATCAGATTTAATTGTTTTTAGGTACAAATGAAAAACAATTGTGAGCCACCAATCAGAAAAGAGATTACATTACCTCCTGATAGACCTGCTTTAGATACTCAATTTCATCCGTCAGACTATCCAGCTTGGACTCGTTGTCCACCTTGTGCAGGTAAGTGTCATCGAGATCCTGCGGGACACAGATACAAATTCATTATGTGTGTGTACACCGTTATGAAGGAGAACATATTACCAGGCACTGCCACCAAAGAAGCTTACAGTGTAAAGGACAGGTTGGGGAGACGCTAAGAAACCTATTACAGGGATGAACTCGAGCTCCTGTGAACACGGACGTACCATGGGCCACCCGACCAATGAGCTGCAGGCAGGAGCATTCCCCACCTCACAGCTGCACAAAAACAAAGGGGCGGGATGCTGACGGTATTAAGTGGCGTCACAAGGGGGGTGCGGCCCGCACCCAGGTGATACCATTGGAGGGGTGACACCAAAATGGCTGACATTCATTTTGGTGTCACCCCCTCTAAAAAGTCTGGCAGTCTGTCATTGGCACAGAGCCCGACAGTGTCAGGAGAGAGGAGGGGACCCGGCGGCATACCTCATCCCGCCGAGTGAACGTCCCCTCCTCTCTCTGCCGGCGTCCATCACCATCTAATTGGCGCCGCTGACAGGCGCCAATTAGATGGTCGCGCATGCGCGATGACGTCACGGCTGAGTGACATCCGACCGCGCGATGCCCCTGACGGTATTGATCTTATATGGCCACATGGTCAATGTCGTTGACCAAATATAGCCATGTGGCCATATAAGGTCAAGGATGTCACCACATCCTATCCCTCAGCTAACATTCAGCTGTGGGAATGGGATTCCTTATTAGGCAGCATCAGAGGGAGTTTCCTTCCAAATTTGGAGGAGCTCCTTATGTGTTCAGAGGAGCTAAGGTGAGGACCGAGTTCAGTCCCAACCAGAGCTCATATTAGTATAGCCATGTGACCATAAAAGGTCAATGATGTCACCGCATCTGACCGCTTTGCTAACATGCAGCTGCAGGCAGGGAAATTTCCAGCTGCGGCTAATGGAGCAGCAGTGAAAGGAGTTTTCTTCCATGTGCGGAGGAGCTCCTTCGGTGTTTGGAGGAGCTCGGGTTCAGACCAAACTCATCCCTGGCCTATTTTTCCATTATGGAATGTGTGCGGAAACTCAAATACATGTGAACGTAGAGGCAGAACCCTTGTGGAAACGGAACCAAGGACCTCCAGGCTGCAAGGCGTACAACTAGGCCAAGCCGCTGTGCCACACACAGACAGACACAAAGATGTAGAGCTAATGCATGAGACAACGTACCTTCTTGGTTAATACAAAATCATTTTCCAACTGGTTCCTCCTGTTTATTTCATCCTCGTATCTGCGAAATAAGACCGACAATGAGCTGAGACCGTCCCACCAGTTACTATACATTCCCCGCCCCCAACCCAATGAAGCCCTACCCCGCCAAAGCCCCACCCCTATCCTGACGAAGCCCCCCCAACCCGGTCACCATCTAGTGTAGAGGAGGAAGGGAGGAGACAGGGAGGAGCTTGCCCCTCACTTGCCTGTCACTGCTGAGGCATCGAGATCGATGGCCTCAGTGGGTTTTTTTTCTTTTTTTGATTGGACACCTTGGACCAATGGCGCTTTCCCATTGGTCCAAACCATCCACAGAGCTCACGCCTCTAACACAGAGTAGAGGCTGCTGCAGTTCTCCCCTCACTTGTTAGGTTACACAAGCAGTGGAGAAGCCCGCTGCTGTGTAACCTAACTACCTGTCAAAAGCCAGACGCAGCGCTGCTTGTAATTAACATCCAGCGCTCCGTCCATGACAGGTTACACAGCTGGGAGGATTTCCCTGATGTATAACCTGATAGAAGCCGATCTGAATGGAGAAAAATCTGTCAGCTTCAGACTTGAAGCTGACAGCTTTTTCCTCTATAATTCTAGGTGAGGCTCTGCCCCACCTGCCTCCCCTGACCGCACGTCCCTGCTGGGGTGTCAAATAGCATGACCGTTTTAAAGGAGAACTATGAGGGGGGGTGCTTTTCACCCACCTCATAGTTCTAGCCGACCTGTGACAATGAGACTGTCACAGGTCGGCTCAGTAGATCGGGAGGTGAGCGAACACATACCGGCGTTCGCTCACCTCTTGATCCTGCCACGGCTCTCCGCCACGACAGGGGAGGGACTGGATTCCCCCCTCCCCGCTCCGATCTACCAGCGTTGACTGGCGGAACGGACGGGGGAGGGGACAGGTACAGCTGGCTCTGCCTCTAGATAGGCAGAGCCAGCTGTCACTCACGCAGCTGGGCGGATCCCGGCACAATTGTCGGGATCCGCTTCAGCTGCGGCATCTCAGTATACCGCTTGCTACAGCTCGCGGTATACTGAGCCTAGGGTGACGGGAGGACGCTAGTTTGTGTCCTCCCGTTACCCTAAGGAGAACTATGGGGAAAAGCCTTAACCCCATAGTTCTCCTTTAAAGCTGAGCTCCAGTCAGATATAAAAGACACATAGTATTGCAGCTCTGCAATCATTATTATAGCATTAAATGTATTTTTTAAATGCAAGTTACATTACTACAGCCAATCCCAAAGGAAGTAAAGACACCGCATCCCATATATTAGAGTCTACAGAGAAGAGAAGGACATCTAGGACCGGGACTCTAACGATAAGATCTTTTAAAGTCCTGGTCCTAGGTGATCTTCTCTTCTCTGTATTTTTAAATGCAAGAACCTTCATTTGGCCTGGTGTCAGCCTCTTGTAGTCCCTGCACAGCAGGGCTGGAGTGTAATAGAAAGAAGAAGCACAAGGAGCCAATTTGTTCAGGTCCTTGGAAAGCAGAATTATAGAGATGAGCTCATCACACTGCTGCTTCTCCTTTCACTGTCCACTCACAGGCTGGGTACAGGTCTATGATGACCTGAGCTCAAAGTAAGTGACTTGAATGATGGCGGCCGACAGACTGAGGACATCTAGTGGCAGAAAAAAGTACTGCAGAGACATTGTTATCTTGTTATTTCTGTTATTTAGTTCTGCTTTAAAGTGAATGTAAAGCCCAAACTTTTTGTACCGGCTCTTCAGCTCCTCCAACACAGCCTGCATGTTCTGCAGCTCGGCCTGCAGCTTGTCCTTCTCGTGCAGCAGGGAGTCTATCTGCTGCTTCAGGTGGTTGCCGGACCCCGCTGTGACCTGGTCGATGTTGGACTTGTAGTTGTCCTTCTCCTTCAGTAGCTTCAGCTGGGTCTTCAGGATCTTGTTCTGCCTCTCCAGTTCTCGAACCTAACACAAAGCAGATATCAGTCACTAGAATTGTAAGATCATTGCAAGCCAGGCATGCCAACCAACATTGTGGTCTGAATCCCAGGGACAAAACTGCACGAATCACACCCACTTTATGGGTTGGTCTCACTTAGACCCCACTTATAAATATGTGTGAACCGCCCATAACACCAACTGTATGGGTTGGCGCTGCCCGGACCTAGCCACTGAATAAGCCAGGACCGTCCACTCGTAGCAATAAAAACAGTTTTGAGTGACTGCAGATGCCTTTGTAATGACTTCTGTGACACTTTGTGGTTTAGAAAAGGCCAAGGTTCCTTTCACACGGGCTGATCGGGAAGGGATCCATGCATTGATCCCCTCCTGGCCAGAGCGGTACGGATCAGATGTCACCACTGTGACAACTGTGTCCCTCCAATTTTTTCCTAAAAAACCTAAATGACCGGAACCATGTCAGCCTATGAGGAATCGAGTGTAAATTGGCATGTGTCTATTTATATCAGATTACCCCCAATCCAGCATGATCAGGTCCAGAGAAACGGAACACTATTCCATTTGTGTTTCCGGACCTAGCCAGGGTCAGGGGTAACGGGGTGGAAATGTATGTCTGTTCATTTAGGGCTGGTTCACACCAGTTGCAGTGTGTTCCGGCCCGATTCTAGCCAGAACGCACTGCCTCGCATGGTGGCCGGTTCTCACTTTTTTGTGGGGCAGGAGGAGGCCATTGAAGTGAATGGCACCGTAGCCACGCCCTCCGGCCGCAATTCGATCAGCCACACGGGATTGCAAAGCACATTATGCCTGCTGCAAGCACTATTTTGATCGCACCAGACTGGACCGCAGACATAATGTGACTTGCGGTCCCCTGCGGCCGATTGCATTGTGGCCGGAGGGCGTGGCTACGGTGCCATTCACTTCAATGGCTCGCCACGCCCCCTCCTGCCCCACAAAAAAGTGAGTCGGCCGCATTGCCATGCAGTGCGTTCTGGCTAGAATCGGGCCGGAACGCACTGCATCTGGTGTGAACGGCCCTTAGGCCCGGCTGCCCATAGAATTACTTTGGGCATCCGATCTAGTTCACCTGAAAAACTGACAGATGGACCTGATCAGACCACCTGTTTGAAAGGGGCGTTACTTGCACATTTTGAATACTTCCAATGTAGACAAATGCATCTAGAGTATCCAGCGCTGCTGGGTTGAATGACACCCAGCATCATTCAACTCACCTCCTTTGTGTTTAAGGTGTCATGGCTCCACCCCCTACCACCCTGAACTCACAAGAGAATGCTGCAGATAACAGGACCACTCATTACATAGCGATGATCTCTGTAGCATTCAGGATCAGCCCTTCGTCAGAGGAGAAAAAGAGTGAACAGCACCTTTTCTTTTTGAGAGCCAGGTGCTGCTCCTATAGAGGGAACTGATGAGCAAGAGTTGGGCTTTAATTAAAAAGTAATAATAATAATATAATTATTATACAACTGCCTCCTTGTCCTGCTCATTTCCCTTGAATATGTACATGGGGGGGCAGCCATAGCGGTTCATCGCATACTCAAACTCGGCTTCCTGGCTCGCAGCCTTACACAATGGTTGCAAACAAAAAATTGCACTGAGCCATTGAGAGCTCCCTCTTGTGGCTGCAAACGTTAAATAATAAGAAAATGGAAGTTCAAGCCTTGTAAAAAAAAAAGTGAATATATTATAAAAATCAAGATAAACACTGTAATAATAACTAAGAAAATGTATGGTGCCAACAACATTTTACCAAAATTTCCTCTTTTTCACCAACATTTCAGAGACATAAAATTATCCCATTTCTCTTATTCCCAGTTACAGACTGTATTTTTCCTTATCAGAAAATCCTGATAAAGTCTTCTTTTGCAGGCACGGAGTCCCATGACTGAGGTCAATTACAAATATATGCAGAGATTATATAAATCCACAACCCCAGAGCCGGGGGGAAGCCTGTGCCCAGGTGAGTGGGGAGTTGGCACCACATGGACAATATTTGTAATGGGCGCACAAGCCAGGGAGGTTCCATGGCCGGGGATTAGGCCTGCCGTGTTTACCAAGAGCGCCGCTCACAATGGCCAAATAATGAAATGAGATCGTTCCATTATTTGCTGGGCTTCTACCTCCGTTTTTTCCCATCATTGTCCTGCGTCCGCTCTCTGCCCAGAGTTATGCCAATCCCTCTCCTGCGGTTTACTGTGTCACACGGGTTCACACAACAAGACGTGTTCCCAGGTCTGCCAGGAGCTCAGCGCCGGGCTGGGAAAATCGGCTCTGAATTTAATTAAAGTGATACAAAGTAAACAATTCATGAGGACGGGAAACCTGAGAAACGTTTGTTAAGGGCGAAATATTAAGATGACCAAAAAAAAGAGAGAGAGAGCAAACCTGGGCCGGTGCTTCGGTGTTCACCAAAAACCTAAAGCTGAACTCCGGCCAACTTTGGTGGTGAGGAGTTAAAGAAGAACTCTGCGATAAGTAAATATAATCTATATACAAGAGTCCTGTGTATTCCTATTGAATCTTGGTGAGCCAACCAGGTCAAGAGTTGATGGGGCAAGATGGCGGAGGCAGTAACTCTTCCCCATTCTATATAAAAGGTGATTAAAGGAGAACTATGAGGTGAGTGATTTTCACTCACCTCATAGTTCTAGCCGACCTGTGACAATGAAACTGTCACAGGACGGCTCAGTAGATCGTGAGGTGAGCGAACACATACCGGCGCTCGCTCACTTCTCGATCTATCCGTGCAGAGAGCGGTGACTGTCACTCATGGCTCCCTGCAGGGATTCCCCCCTCCCATGTCCGATCCTCCAACGCTGACTGACGGAACGGACGGGGGAGGGGGCGGGCACAGCTGGCTCTGCCTCTGGACATGGAGAATCGCACGTTTTTCCCGCGCGATTTCGTGCTGAGCGGCTTTGAGCTACATTGCGCAATATTGAGCGACAGTGCACATTTTGTCGCGCTACGTAGCGCGTTTTTTGGGAGGGACTTCGTCACTGCTACATTGGGCTCTGACCAGTCAACAGCGGTCTTGATGTGACATCATTCTTTTCTTACATATTGCTGTGGAAAAGTGACCCTTCTGTAGCGCGATATCCCGCGACAAGGTCGTGCAATATCGCTGGTAATGCGCGACTTTGCTAAAAACCATTGAGCCTATTGGGGCTAAATCGCGCGACATCCGTGGAAAAATAGGTCATGTTCGAGCTACAAGCTTGAGCAACGAGCTACGGGCGACATTGAGCTGTGAGATGTGAACAGCTCCATTGAAATGCATTGGACGAGCTACATTAGCCCACTGAGTAGAGGAGGAATACTAAGCAACTTTCTCTCTCAGGTCTGCTCCTCCCCTCAGTTGCTTGTGTTTCAATAGCCACTCTGCTATTGGCTATTTCAAATGTAAAAAGCAGTCTGGCTGTTGTCCCGGCTGCTTACATCCATCTATCGCCTGTGAAAGTTGGCCGGCAGGAGAATGGAGCAGCGCGAGCGGAGTGGGGGATTGGGGGGTGCAAGTAGCTGGTCTTGCCTAGGGCACAAAATAGTCTAGCACCGGCCTTGCACATAAGGACATAGGATTTCACTCTCTGATCTGCATGCTTGGCTTGGTCATTCATGGAACGTACGGAAGCCGGGGGGTCAGCATAGCAGCCAGGCTATTAGCATTTTCAGTAGAAGGTCAGTATGGCCTCCATGTTTCTTCCAGTAAAACGTTGCTTTGAAAAAATTATCATCTGTGAAATTCAAGACGAAAGGTCGTTCTCCATGCCCACGCCTTGGCTAATTATTTGATACGGTAAGGCAGCACAAAGAGTAATGATGGGGTGCTAAGTGCCTTACAACGGCCATACAGCTGCCTACGTTTATAAAGCACAGCAATGTGCGTCGTGATCCGATCGCTTTGGGACTTGTAGAGCAAGCAGAGCGCTATTAGACTGCATGGGAGTGGGGATAAAAAGGCTGGGAGGGATGCATGGTTAGGTGACCTGCCAAAGTCATGTGACTGACTTCTCCTCCAATCACAGAGGAGTGCACATGGCGATCTGTATTTTGTGAATGAAGCATAAAGTGGGGGGCTGGATGTGCATACATACCAACACTAAGGTACCGTGGGACACTGTTTACCCTGCCCACGAGGTCCGCATTTTGTCCGCCTTCTTTACTGGGTGGTTGTGCCTATCTCACACTCACTTTGCGCATTAGCTCTGCCCAGACCCCACCTCTAAATAGGACCACCCAATCATGGCCCCGATCCCTATAATGATTGCATTTTTAAATTACTGTGTATATGCGGTAACTCAAATACTTGGCCTCGGACCTGGTATCAGAGGGGCCAAGATGTAGGACTGTCCCAGCAAATCAGGTACAAGTGGCATCTACAGATGTAGGGTAAGAGTGCGGTGTCCAGCAAAGAGCAAATGGTGGGATCGGGACCATCTTAAATATTGATTGCACCCTGGGCAAACATTTTGTTAGGTGCCCTGTCCCGTCAGAAGAAGACGTGACCCTGCGTGAGACGTCACGGTATGCCGCCAACGGCAGGGGAGGAGCAACACTATGCAAGGCCGATCGCATAGTAAACAGAACAGTGCCTCGTGTGTATCTTTTGCGGGCTCGAGGGGCAGCTGCTTTGGGCCCCAGAACAATGATTGGGCCCAGGGCAACTGCCCCTTTTGCCCGCATTAAAGGAGAACTATAGGGTTAGGGCTTTGCCCCATAGTTCTCCTAAGGGTAAATGAGGACACAAACTAGCATCCTCCCGTCACCCTAAGCTCAGTATATAGAGAGCTACAGCTCGCGGTATACTGAGACGCCGCAGCTGAAACGGATCCCGACAATTATGTCTGGATCCGCCCAGCTGCGTGAGTGACAGCTGGCTCTGCCTATCTAGAGGCAGAGCCAGCTGTACCCGCCCCTTCCCCCGTCCGTTCCGCCAGTCAGCGCTGGAGGATCGGAGCGGGGAGGGGGGAATCCAGCCCCTCCCCTGTCACCGCAGAGAGCCGTGACAGGATCGAGAAGTGAGCGAGTGCCGGTATGTGTTCGCTTACCTCCCGATCTATTGAGCCGACCTGTGACAGTCTCATTGTCACAGGTCGGCTAGAACTATGAGGTGAGTGAAAAGCACCCCACTCATAGTTCTCATTTAAAGACAGCCCTGAGTGGAATCTGATCTCCATTTTAAATGGGCCACTTTATTGACCAGTAAGATTTCGTCTTTCAGTTCAGAACATTTCCGGTGCCCTTATCCTGCCAAATGACAGTTTTCCACAATTCTCAAATCCCAGAAAATAGAATTCCACAGGGTGAAGGTCACAACCTATAACACTACTGGGACCCCCCAAAATGCTATTGGGCTCTATAGCTGTTGTATGATATGTACTAAGCCTGATGATGGAATCTACGGAACCGCGAAAGCCAATAAATGGAGAATCTCCTAAAGTCCAGAATTTCTGTATGATCTGCTATATGTACAAAGGCTGATGAAGGGACTTAAAGAACCCTGAAAGCTTGAATCTTTAATAACTTAAGTTAGCCACTAAAGGGGATCACTTAAACCCCACATTTCTGCATGATCTGATGAAGGGAATCTAAGGAATCCCGGAAGCTTGCATCTGAATAGCTGATAAAGGGGATATCCCATAGTCCAAACTTTCTGCATGATCTGCTATAAAGTACAAAGCCGGATGTAGGGATCTAAGGAATCTCGAAAGCCAATAAATGGGGGATCTCCTAGTGTCCAGACATTCTGCATGATCTGATATGCAATATGTACAAAGCCTTCCACTTTACGCCCGGGGCCAGCGCACCGGCCGCCCCCCCCCGGTTGTTACGACACTGACAAAGCCTAATGAAGGGACTTAGGAACCCCACAAGCCAATAGATGGGGGATCTCCTAGAGCCCAAACTTTCTGGATGATCTGCTATATGTACGGAGGCTGATCAAGGGACTTAAGGAACCCTGAAAGCTTGAATATTTAATAACTTAAGTTAGCCAATAAAGGGGATCCCTTAAACCCCACATTTCTGCATAATCTGCTTTAGGCTGATGAAGAGAATCTAAGGAATCCCTGAAGTTTGCATCTGAATAACCAATAAAGGGGATACCTCCTCATGTATCACTTCCCGCTCCCTTCTAGATTGTACGCTCTCACGGGCACGGCCCTACTTGCCATCTTGTCTTGAATTGTATTGTGACTGTAATGTCTTCCTTATGTTGTAAAGCGCTGTGCAAACTGTTGGCGCTATATAAATCCTGTATAATAATAATAATAATATCCTATAGTCCATTCTTTCTGCATGATCTGCTATATCTCGAGATACTTCCACTTACCCGCATAACAGCATATAGGTGAATACAGCGTGCTTACCATATAACATGACCCCCTTACCTTGTCTATGAAGTTAACAAACTGATTGTTGAGCCCCTTGATCTGCTCCTTCTCCTCGGTCCTCATCTGGTGCAGTTTGGGGTCCACCTCCAGGTTGGGCATGGAGGACAGCAGGAAGGTGCTGGACCCCGGGGTGATCCGAGAAATGTTGAGGCCACTGCTGGCTCTCTGTAGCCCGGGCTGGTAGCCTGTGCTGGCCCTGAACACAGAGGGTCTTCCAGACAGAGAGCCATGGGAGCGGCTGCTGAAGCCCCTGGTGGTGCCATAGCGGTTGTTGTACAGACTCATGGCGGTGGTGGGAGTCACAAGAGGACGGATGGAGGTCTGGAGGATGAGGATGAAGCTCTGCAGAGACGAGACGTGAAGCTGTGACTCGGGCCACCCAGGCTCATGTGTCACCTGTTAGTCTTTCCTTCTTGTTTATTGACACAATATTTGAATAAGTATTCCTCTAGAGGCCGGGCCGGTTCCTGGCCCTCGCCCTACTCCCAGGTGACACCGCCTTATCTACAAATAACACTTGTCTACCCAATCCTGGCTTTGGCAACTCTCCATGGGACTACAGTGACACGGACCCCCGATAACGACCACCGCCCACCCCCCGAACAAGAACCCAAATAGAAGCAGCAGGATAGGACTGTCCGTCCCATATGATCGCAGTGTTATCAAAAAGATTCAGATGATGAAGAAATTGAATTAAAAATGGCCAGCGGAAGATCAATTGGACTCTGCAAGACTTGGTCAAGATCTATTAAAGCCCAACTCCAACATTTCCCACCACCAACATCGCCTCTGCTGCACTAAAATCCCAAGCGGTGCTGTCAGCCCTAAGTTTTCTTCCACTAGACTGTAGAACACAACCCCCCCCCCCCTTTTAAAATGATGATGGGGTGTTCTGTAGTTCAGCGGGGAAAACTAGGCATTGCTGACAGCAGTGCTTGGGATTGAATTGTAGCTGAGGTAGCATTGTCACCTCAAACAGTAATAAAGACCGCTCACTGCTGCTCTCTCTCCTTGTGCGGGGTGACTGGTCTTGTCTACTCCCCCTCCTGTCATAAAGACCGATCACTGCGGCTCTCCCTCTCCTTGTGCGGGGTGACTCGTCTTGTCTATGCTCCTTCCTGTACTAAAGACCGGTCACTCCTGCTCTCTCTCCTTGTGCAGGGTGACTGGTCTTGTCTCCGCCCCCTCCTGTAATAAAGACTGCTCCTCTCTCTCCTTGTGGAGGGTGTCTGGTCTGGTCTCCACCCACTCATTTAGTTTCCTGTAGTGGGTGGAGCCAGCTGGGCAACTCCCACAGCTCTGCTCTCTGCGCAGACTACATACTGCACAGTGATGAGGTCACTGCTACTTTTACAAGCTAATGCATGAGTTTGCAAATACATTTGGTGCACACAAATTGGGTTAATATCCTTTGTGGCTGTTGACGAATATATTTAAATATATTAATATTTTAATTTAACATTAAAGGTTTTGTGCCCGGAGTTCAGCTTTAAACCTCTGAC